AGGAGATTTTGTTACATCCAATATTGCTAATTTGTCTGAATTTTCAGTACCGCCATACACAATTATCCTTCCATCAGATGCTAAAATAAATAAATATTATATATAAATTAAAAAAAATATTTAATTAAATAATATAATTAATAATTTACTTACTTAATACTGAAGAAAACCCATCTCGTATAGAAGGTACATCACCAACTGTTTTCTAATATAACTAATACTTATTAATATCTTTCAGTTGAAAATATTGTTATGATGATTATATAACTTACAATAATAGACCATGAATTTTGGTTAATATTATACAAGCATATCTAAACAGAATATGTATTATTAGAAAATATAACATTTTCATTCCTTTTATTTTAATTAAATAATAAAAAAATAAATTATAATATTACTTGAGTTGCAGCATAAAAATCAAGGTAAATTATAGTCTCATCATTCAATGCATGACAATTGAAGTAATCTATGTGTAATATAGATGGACCACTATTACTTGGTGTTAAGGTTGTAAATATCATACTTTTGGAATTGAATTTATATATATTTAGATCAATTCCAGTAAATATATATGTGTTTCCATAATTATCTTGTGTATATCTTGTATACATAGCTTTATTTAATTGTAATTGTCCATTTAAGGTTTCTGGAGTCCATGTATCAAATGAATTTGTATTTATTGAATAAACTATGGATCCATAAGCTGTAGAACCAGGTCCTGCTTCTAAACCTTTATATCCAGCTATAACATAAAGTGTGTCATTATTAGTTCCTCCCAATGCTAATGATGCACTACTAAATGGTGGTATTACTGATTTTGGAATAATTGATTTTATTGGTAATGTTTGATTAAGTGAAAATGATGTGGATAAATCTAGATAAATTATTTGGTTTGTAAGTCCTGAACTTAAGGAATCTCCTCCAAAATTATAGAGTTTATCATTTAACACTATTGAACTTTGAATACGTATATCTAATAATTGACCAGAAACCAAAAATTTGAAACTATCTAATAAAAATAAATTGAAAATTATTATTAATAAATTTAATGATTTTAAATAGTTATGATGATGTTTCATTAAATTATCCATTTTTTTAAAAAAATTTATAGTATTAAAAATAAATCTGCGTTGCCTTCAAAAATGAATATTCTATATAAGGAAATTAATGTAAATTTTTGCTATTTCTCCAAATATTAAAAAATAAATCTATACCAGGTGTGCAATTAAAATTTTTACATGAGTAAAGCAAGTATTTGTTTGATTATTACCTCCAACTACACACCATCATATAGAAAATCAATATTGGATTTATTGCTACCGCCATTCTTGTTACTTGAAATGAGGATTGCTCAAAGTTTCTTAGCAAATTAAAATCTCCTATTAAATAGTAGTTCGCAATAAATAATGACTTCATAGAATGTTATTTTACTATTTAAAATCTTTCTGTGTGTGATAAACTTCATTAGAAATTTTAAATTGTTACTTAAAAACAGAATATCTAAATATTTTTTAAAAAAAAACTAAAATAAGGTTTTTAGTATTAACTTTATTTAGCAAATTTAATAAGAAATCAATCTCATTATATCAAAAATAAGATAGTGTATTATTAAATGAAACAATTAGCAATAACTATTATAATTGTTGTGAGCAGCGCTTATTATGACAATTTGATAATTATATATTGATGATATATAATAGTAGCAAAAAAATAATGACAAGAATTATTTATAATCATCTATTTAGCTATATTTTTCAGCAGTACTCACAATAACTGATTTTACTTAACACTGATAAAACAGTTACTTTTTTAACTTTGGGAAAATGGTTCTGATCCAGTTTTTTAAGTGCAGTTTGAAATAGAAAATCAATCTAGAAATATGCTCATTCAAATCCATTAATTTGTTCAAAGCATCTTTCAAGGAAAATTTTTTCTTTACCTATAGTGGACAAACATTGTGATCAACTGCTAGCGCTCCATCTTTTTGTTTTCTCCACTTTCTGAGAAACATTCAAAAATATTCAGAATCAACGTGCTTCTAAAAATGAAATATATATTATGTAAAACTATTTTCCAAGTATTTACTGGATTTCTTTTATTAACCAACTATTTATATGATCATTCCATTTTATGTAAGACATTTTTACAACCAAATTGTCAATTACCTAAGAAATTTAAATAATTTATTAATTTATTTGGTTCCAATAATTCGGGAAAGGAATAAACTGTGGAGTTATTTATATATTAATATTGAAGTTAAAGACACTTGTTGTAAATGTTTGGTCTGGTAGCTACCATTACCATAAATAGCTATAAATAGATATGGCTACTGCAAATAACTACGACTGCTGGAAATAGTTTTCAATTATTGTCATAGTCATATTAGTCATGTGAAAATTTGAATTATTTGTGATCTGCAACTGAATTTTTTTTTGATAAATCCAGCTTAAGCTATATTAACCAATTGGCAAGGAAAATTTATTGCCTGCATGGATATTACACCATATAGTCACTTCATTGGATTTCTTTTTTCTTCTATATAAAATAAGAATAGCAATAAAAACAATGATGATTGCACCAGATGTAACTTATCCAATAATTATAGCTAGTTTAAATAATAGTTTTATAAATATTGAGAATTCCTAACTAATAATGATGAAAAGGAAGTGATGATGAAGGTGGGACACTTCACTGTAAAATCCCAAGTAGAAGAGGAAAAAATGGGATAATGTGTAATTATATTTATCCTTTTATCCAAATACACTATAGAAATTAATTGACATATTTCATTATTATTATTTTTTGCAAAAGTGTAAATAGTAAAACAAATATAGCACAATATTAAAAATTAAGTATATACAGTACAAAATAAATAAATAAATCATAATATAATCACATACAAACAAAAGATAATTCATATTTTATTTATTTTAGGTGTGACCACATACTAATACAATATGAAAAATGAAAAATATGCGCAGATGGAATGCATGCTGAAAAAAACACTTTATCTTACATTTAATTGAGGAATGTATTGGTTAGACTTCTATTCGAATAAGGTTTATTCAAATTATTCATTTTATTCGTAATGAATTTGAGTATTCAAATTACATTGAAAGTTTATTCGAACTAATAATTCAAATAAATTTTTTAATTTGATATTGAATAAATTTTTTTAAATTCGAATAAAGAAATTGTATTACAAATAGAACCATAAAAATGATAAAGTCTATTTTATTTTGTTGGTTGTTTTCAAAATCAAATGAATTAAAATTATTTCAAGAACTTGCTCATTATGTGGATCTTTGCAATGTTTTATATTTAGCTTTTATTTGACTAAAAAACAAAGTTCATTTATTTTGTGGGATTCTTTAAACACATATAGTTCACTCTCTATAGCAGCCATTTCTATAATGGTTTTTGCTCTATAACAGACTGAGAATTTGAGCCCAATTAAAATTATCTGTGTCTCATATACTTTCAATAACAGTTTCTCTCTATAACAGTTTTCTTTGTTGAAACAGAAGAGCTGTTAGATAATGAACTGTACAATATATTACATACATAGAGTTTTATATGTTACTTGTTTCTGTAACCCCCCTTTGTTTTATTATTATTATTATTATTATTATTATTATAGATGATAATAATCTTTAAATTTAAAGCTTTTGCTTATTCATTTTACTGTGAAGAATTTTAGGATAGCATAGATTAATGACAAAAATAAGAAAAGCATGAGACAACTCCAAAATTGAATGATCATCATCCAAATGATTTATTTATATTGGATAAAGTTTTATTTTTAAAGTTGATAAATACAAATAATAATTCAGTATTAAATTTTTCACAGTATTGAAAATTTCTAAAATTTAATTTCTTAGAATTATAAAATTATTTAAATTTATGAAAGTATATATATTTAGTAAGAAATAAATAATTTTTAATATTAATATGATAAAAAAATTTTTTTCAATAATTAATCAAATGTGGAAATCAAGTTGTGAATCAGAGATTGTAAGTGGTATTATGCTAATTTATAAATTTACAAATTTGCATTCAAAAATTTATTTATCATTTAATAGATAAATTTTATTGACTTTTTCACCAGATGGAAGAATTACTTTATGAGTAATTATTTTAGAGCTCTTGGAATTGGATATAGAAATCTGATTATTGTTGTCATTAATTGTAATTAACTGGTCATTCTGAACATTATCATTATCACTATTATTATTACTATTATTATTTTTCAAAATTTTAATGTTATTATTATCATCAATGATGTCTTTATGACTAGTATCTACTACAGCTTCAGTATTACTATCACTATTAGTATATTTGTAGCTATTATCATTGTTTGAAATGATTTCAATATTACCAGTAAATTCATTTTGGTTTTCATTTTCATTATGAGTTTGTTGATTTAATTCTCTGTCTTTTCATCGTCACTGACAACAACATTATTAACCATTTCATTGGATTTCTTTTTTCTTCTATATAAAATAAGAATAGAAACAAGAGCAATGATGAAGATTGCACCAGATGTAACTGATCCAATAATTATACCAGTAGTTTGTTGATTAGCAGCTGCACTGGTGGTGGTTGTATCTATTGAAGGATCAAATGTGTCCAACCATTTGTAATTATATTTGTCACTAATATCTAATAATAAGATACCACTACCACTACCACTCATGTAGCCTATTATTATTATTAAATATAAATATAATTTATATAAATAAATAATATATTTATGTATGAATTTCAAAGATTATTATCATAAGTTACCAAATGAGATTATCATGTAATTTTTATATAAATTTGAAGTATGTTCAAGATGATCTTTATCAATTAGATTAACAGGATAATTAGTAACATTTGTTGGAACTGTCCATTGGAAAGGAGATTTTTTTACATCCAATATTGCTATTTTGTCTGGTTGTTTGTACCACCATACACAATTATCCTTCCATCAGGTGCTAAAAATAATTAAATATAATTAAAAAAATATATTTAATTAAATAATTAATAATAAAATTAATTAATTTACTTAAGAACTGGTTGGTTTCATAACATTGACATTGAAACATTCAGAAAATTCTCCAAAGACACCAAAAATAACATGGTTG